TTGGCCTCCTTTGGACTCCTTACTTCATCGTCTATCATAAATAATGTTCTTCATTTTTATACATAAAGCTTTTCATCATAAATTATTTCCTTGGATATTCTATGGAATGAAAGAACTGTTCGTACCCCACTTCCATGCTTTTTCGGTCTTCAGTAGTAGTAAAGCTGGGCTCAAGCGATCCTTCTTGCCTCAGCATCCCAAGTAGCTGGGACTACAGGCAACACTCAGCTAAGTTTTCTATTTTTTATAGAGATAGGGTCTTCCTCTTGCTCTTGCTCAGGCTGGTCTTGAACTCCTGGCCTCAAGTGATCCTCCCACCTCAGCTTCCCAAAGTGCTAGGATTACAGATGTGAGCCACCGTGCCTGGCCAAAGCTTAGGTTATTTCTAAATGACAACTGTGATAGAATGACTTTGCAAGCCACTGAAGGGAGAACATAAAGTGCTTTGGAATTTTGTGACTATCTTGGGTGAAGTGCTTGATATGTTTGAGGCTTAATTTTCTCATTTGTTGGGGAGGTGGATTAAAAATACCTATGTCAGGCCGGGCATGTGATGGCTTATGCCTGTAATTCTAGCACTCTGGGAGACCGAGATGAGAGGATCACTTGAGGCCAGGAGTTCAAGACCAGCCTGAGCAAGAGCATGACCCCGTCTCTACAAAAAAATAGAAAACTTAACTGGGTGTGGTGGCACATGCCTGCGGTCTCAGCTTCTGAGAAGGCTGAGGCAGGAGGATTGGAGTTTGGAGTAACAGTGAGCTATTACGATGCTATTGTACTATAGCCAGGAGGAGAAAATGAGACTCTGTTTCTAAATAAATGTCATAATATTCTTCAGTGTGAAATAATGTACACCTAACATATGTAATAATAAAATGCCTGGCAGGTAGATGGTAGCTAATGTTACAGTTACTAGTAACAAAACTTTAACATTGTATTATATTAAATAATTTCTCATGTGCATTTGGTAAATACAGGTTTGTTCCTTTTAAAGCCATTCAGTTATATCATCAACATTTGAACTATAAATAATTTAGGAAAAATTATAGAGGATATATGTTCAGAACAGTTAATGACAGTATTTTTTTTTTTCTTTTTTGAGACAGAGTCTTGCTCTGTTGCCCGGGCTAGAGTGCCATGGTGTCAGCCTAACTCACAGCAACCTCAAACTCCTGGGCTCAAGCGATCCTTCTGCCTCAGCCTCCCAAGTAGCTGGGACTACAGGCATGTGCCACCATGCCTGGCTAATTTTT